CTTTTCACCAGTTGAGGGAGTTCAAAACTTCTTGAGGTATGTGTATCTGCATGTCTGTCTTGAGAACAGCAGGGTGATAGACCATCCTTAAGCACCCCTGAAGACAACGAAGATCCAGTCTGTTGAACAGGTCACCAGAGTACATGAACTGTGTGACCTAAAACCAGAGACATATCCTTGCTATAGTACATGGATTGTTTTGCAGTTGATTGATCAACTTTAATATATTGTCAAATCTGGTCTGCAGCAGCTATCTTGAGCCATCATGGAATTGAGTAGAGCCCCAGTATGTGCTATCTTTTTTTGTTGGGTTTAAATGATTTTTTTCATGTTTCACACTCAGTCCCAGACTGGAGAACAGATGTATGAGGTACTGGACACTGCTTAGCACCTGCTCTGGAGACTGTCCTCTTATCAACCAATTGTCAAGATATGGGTAAACCCAAACGCATTTCTTTCTGAGATGTGCTAGTACCCCAGCCAGACATTTTGTGAAAGTCCTTGAAGCCATCAACAATCCAAAAGGCAGCACCCTGTACTGGTAATGTGCATTGCCCACTACAGAAGGCAAATATTTTTCTGCTGGATGGATGGAAATATGCATTTTGTAGATTGAGAGTTGCAAACTAGTCTAGAGGATCTAGGGAAGGAAGCATGGAGAACAGGGTTACTATTTGAAATCTGAACTGGCTAACTGAAATTTCAACTCTCAGGTCCAATACTGGTCCAACCAGCCTCCCAATTTTTTGGGGACTAGAATATATCGGGAACAGATCTCCTTCTCTGATATTGGGGAGGGAACCTCCTGCATAGCACCAAGAGCCAACAGACACTCAACATCTTGTGTGAAGGAGTCTTATGAAACGGGTCCCTGAAACGGAAGGTGGGAATGTCTTGGAATTGAACAGAATAACCTTTCTGAATTAGTTCCAATACTTATCTGCTGCTGGTGACACTACTCCATCGCTTCCTGGAAATAATACAAATAGTCCCGAAAAAGGGTAAGGTAGGAAAAAAGACCCTCCAAGATTGGTTAACAGTTCTCTGTATACACATCAAACAACTTTTTAAAGCCTATCTTAGCAGCAGTTGAAGTTGATGTCCATGAAGGTCTTCCATGAATACATTGTTTCTTCTTTAAAAAATCCATTGTTCTCTGATAAGGATGATTAAAAGGAGTAGTGACAGGCTGTTTCATTTGAGTATGCTTCTTTTTGGATTTTGCAGTATTATTGTAGCTATGTTGTTCCCAGGATATGAGAGACACAAGGTGGGTCAGATATCTTTTATTGGACCAACTTCCAAACCTTCTCTCTTCCATCAACAACAGTTGGTCCAATAAAAGATATCTCACCTACCTTGTCTCTCTTTTTACATTGGAAGTGTAGATGCCTAATGACAGTAATGTAGTACGAGTGCCTTTCAGTGTAGGGAATGACTCAGTTTTAGAACTGAACTAGATGATTCCCTCCAAAGGGAAGGTCTTCCAACATAGTTTGAACCTCCAGAAGACCAGAACCATCACGCACGTTGCATAGTACTTGTTGCCTCCAATCAGTTTCACTGCAGTTTCAGCAGCATAATGGACTTATAGGAAGGTTTTAGCTATTAACTCACCATTCGTAGATGAACTTTTGTCAGACTTTAGAGGAATTTAAATATTTATCAAGATACTCAGTAACTTTGTCCCACATAAGGTAATCATAGCAAACTATCAGGCCCTTTTATCAAGTTATGCAGAGTTGAAGGCAAAAAGTCAAATCTTTTTTGGCTCCTTCTCCCCTGGAGTAGTACTAAAGGACTAATGTTTCAACTTCTCTTGTGTGCTGTTGTCGCTACTGAGGACCCTGAAGAAGGACGTGTGTAGAAATCTTAGAAGCCTGTTGAAAGGACTTGATACCTGTTTTCACCTCTAAGCAGTGGGTGGTCTAGATGCTGGAGTCTATCATAAGAGTGGGGTTGGCTCTAACAAGCCTTCATTTATAGAGAGGGCAAACCTCTCTGGTAGAAATGGATGCAAAATGTCCAGTAACTTATGTCCTTTTTCTTGAGCAGTCTGAACAGGGATCTCCAAAGCTTCTGCCATTCAGTGGACCAAGTCTCAAAATTACTTATTATCTAATGACGATAACTGAGGAGGAGCTATAGCCTCATTCTGTGAAGAAGAGGATGGAATATGCTCTGAAATAGTTTCAGAAACTTGCCACTGAAGTATATGTTCACCCAGAGACAGATGTGGAGAAGAGTCTGGTTCAACAATATGTATACATTGCTGTGAATACTTTTGCATAATAGGTGCATCCTGGGCTGAAGATGATCTAACCCTGGAAACCAAAGCTGAGGAATGTTTTGATTTAGGATATGGTCATAGGGCCCTGGAGGCCAAGCAGTTTGTCTATATGTATAAAATTAATGAGGCCAGGCCCAGTGGTACCAATTAGGGGCTTTTGAACTAACATGCCTATATTTACCCCCTATGTCTGACTTACTTCCAAATATATACAGGTTATAAAAAATACCCCCAACGGGTAAGCAGGTGAAACATTCCAATTATCAGAAGAGGATGAAGAATGATACTCGTCCTCCTCTTCAGGGGGGAGGGGGAGGACTGCTTGTGAGCGGGTATGAGAATTACCCACTGAAAGGGGCTTACCACACTAGCCCTAAGGTAACTTATGCAACATCCCTTGATTGACAAATAAGTGATGTTTTGCATATCATGCTGAGGGTGGCCAATGCATCATGGTTATTTTAATTTAAAAACTGGTTCTGTTACCTTCCCCCGCCCCAACAACAAAGTTACTTAGTGTCTAATCACTGGTATTTACAGGTCAAGCAAATGGGGACAGTATTCCTTCTTAATATAAACAAGCCCTACGTAAACTTGTATTGGAGAAAGTGATATTCCTTTAGTTACAACTGGTGCAGACCGCCTAGTGCAGATAGGCTGCACTGGCACAAAGTGGAGCGTGTACCCTTATCCTAGAGGACGCCTGGACTTTGAGTCTCTGATGGCGAATGGGATATGTGGTAGCTGCCCTGCACTATTCTCTGAGGAAAAATAAAATTAGGCTTGGACAACCGAGAGAAGGGGCCATATCTTCAAACCATAAGCTCTCTGGTGCATTCCATTTCACTGCACAGGCCGTTGATCCATACACAAGATGAAAATAATCTGCAGTGACACGTTTAACCGTTTAAATTGTAACTGAAATTTAAAGCTGACAACCCACTGAGATTAACAGATCAGTTCCTACCCTCTCAAACCTATTGTTTCAGGCTGTCTACACCTTCAGGCAGACAGCACTGCATTTACACTGTGCTCCCATATTTTAAGGGTATATGCACATTCATGAATGCTAGAAACAAGTTTTGCTTTAACTAGCTCACCTGTTCACGTGCTATGGGTGAAGCCAGAGTAGACCTACACCTTATCCAGTGCAGATTCGGTCCACTTCCACCAATAATCTCCTTGCCCCAACACCATCTCCCAATTAGTCCCCACCCACCTGTGTCTACAATGCAAATTCCTCAGTGCAAAAGACAACCCTACTGTGTTTTCACTATACAAAACTCAAAACAAGTGCGCACACTTCTGTGTATATTTGTATGCATAGCAGAAGAGGCCCATTTTCTTGCTTTAAATTTACTGGATTTGCAGGGACATTAATTTCTCACTTACATCAACATTGTGAATAGCTAAAACACACAAAGGGTTTTAAGCATTAAGTCTTGAAACAAGCACAAAACCGGGGGTGGGGGTTGGGGGGGTGGGCGGGGAGAGGAAAGAGCAACCTAGCATTCAATGTGAATTTCAGGTTAGCAAACTTTATAGTAATACCAATTCTAGAAAAAACACATTAAGTTGTACAATAGGAGTTCTTTGTTGCTATCACTGAGATTTAATCTGAGTTGAGAAACAGTTGATTTATGTAAAACAGATTTTCATAAAATAAAGCATGTGCTCACAATATTATTTAATTTTATAGACTATTTTTTGCAAATTAAGCATTAGGAAAATATTCCTTAATGAAGAATACTGAAATTGAAGTACAGTAATAACGGGCATTCTTGATGAGAACAGTATGTATTCCTCATAATGTATTATTATTAAACAAATATTCCTAATTTTTTTTCAGTGCTTATAACCTTAAGAGTTCTAACCATGAGTACAAACTTATGTTTAACACTGATGTTGCTACGAGAGTACTCGTAGCTAATAATGACAGAATTTTTCAAACGCTGAAAACATAATTGGTGAGGAAAGACTCAGCCATTTCTCAAACAGTTTCAGTTTTTGTATGAATAGTGAAGTGCGTTGAATAAATTTGTTATCACGGAAGAGTCAGTCTAAAGCAAAGGCACTGACACTAAAACAAACCAGATCCATAGCTGGAGTCTGATGTAGACATGTTTATTGAATTCCTATATCAGAAAGGTGCAACCCATTGTGGAGAACGGTAATGGTGGGTATGAGTACACACCAACTTCTACATACAAAATGATTACCATGCATTAGTTTACTCCCCTGTAAGTAGTCCCAATGAAGTTAATGATACTACACATGACTGTCTGCAGAATGGGGCTCACCGTATTTCTGTTAGGTGGAGCAGCCTACATGTCATAGAAGTGGTCTATTTTAGAGTCATTAGCTCTTTTCATTTTGTTTCAAACATGTTATATAATACAGATAGATACAAGGAGCTTAGCTCTGCATCTACTAACCTCTGTGTAATATGTCTTACAAATTTTGTAACTGTCTAAGGTGGAATGTTTCTAATATGCCAATCTCTTTTTAAAAATGAAGATGCAGCCTCTTAATTTTAACAAGGTACCACAAACTGATCTTAATCACTTTTCAGAAATTTCACTTATGTTTTTTTGCTTTTTTTAGTACTCTGTTGCCCAGTGGATCTGCTTTTCTTCTGTCACAATTATTTTTTTCACTTTTTTTAAAAACTCTAGTTAGCCCTGTATTGCTCTAAGTATCAAACAGAACTGTTAACTAAGTTTAAACCACAGGGAAAATTCTGCCCTCAGCTGCACAGATGTAACTGAAAGCCGAATTCAGCCTACCAAACCAGTTTGATACTGATGATACATAAGAAGAAAACAACCCAGCTTGTCTTTAGGATATTAAGTAGAGTTTGAAGGGCTAAAATGAGAAAAGACATCACTTCCCTTGTCAAGTGAGCAAATTGTTCTGGTAGTCACTGAGTCAAATAAGGAATCCCCAGATGTCATTTTTCAGAATGGACCTGAACTTTAAAACCACATGCCAAAAATAAATGATAAAAGTAAACTATGGTCATGAACAACCTTGCAAGTTTTTCTATAGCATGTATAAACAAGAGAACATCCATGTTTTTGAATATAAGCTGAGGAATGAAGAACTGCTTCTTGTTATTTTAATAAAAATACAGTGCTTACTTACACTTCTAAACATTGAAACAAAAGTATACATACATGGAGCAAATCTTTTTTTCTAGGTAATTGTGTAAAGGCTTTCAAAAGTAGTTTGTCACTTTACATCATTATTGAAACATGTATCCTTTTCAAAGGAATAAATGTCACAAAACAAATACACACTAGAAGAACACAATTAAATGACCTGGGCAATGAACAATCTATAGTCAGCTACTACGAAGGAACATGGGCCTTGGGTTCAAATCTCCAGCAAGTATTCCTCTTCTCCACAAAAAGCATATTTATATATTAACGGCATATACAATATGGAAAATCTAAAAGCATATTTTTGTTCTTAATATGCACCCTCTTTAAAGGACTCTGCTAACTCTTGATTGGCAGCATCATATTCAGCAATGAAATGTTTAAGTTCTTCAATGCATCGCTCACCTATCTCATGCAAATTTTGTCTCAGGGCAAACTGAATGGACTTTTCTAATGAAGGATCTTTATCAATCAGCATCTTCACTACCATGCCAAAGGTTTCACAGTCTTGTCTGTAAACCTAGAAGCAATACATTTGAGAAACTGATTAAATGCAAGGATATTTACATAAGCAGCATCATTTCCCCCACCCCAAATAAGGTTAAAGTAACATTACACCACCAAAACCAATTGATGAACAATGAATGATAGATTCAACACAAATCTTATTTGTTAAGCCTGCTATAAATGTTTACTCCCCTGCAGGCCTGCTGTAATGTAACAAGGGCAAAGGTAGCTAGTTCAGTACTACTTTGACACAAAACATAATTCTTAATGAAGGAAATTTCTGAAAAATAGAACTTGGGGAGGAAAAGAATTTCTCTTGTAATGCACCCACCTTGAATAAAATATCTGAGTAAAGAGAGATGAGCAAACACTAAATGCATTTAACACTTTTGCTTGTAATAAAATCTGGGTTTTACCTCGTCATCTGTGCCCATCTCATTAATTTTTATTTAAAGGTAATGATTAGTTAGTTGATCTTCTGATAACACTTTGAAGATGACACATACTAAATATTTCAGAAAATATATTTTTATTATGTTTTTTGGAGATTTCAAATCACCCATAATGGCAAAGCCAGATCAATTTCCTGTACAGAGCTTCAAAGCAGCTCTATAGGTTTGATGCTATTGGCAGCTCTACCCCAGTACAATGTAACTTCATAAGGGAGAGCTCAGTTTAGAATTGACATCAGCCAGAGGTTGCACCTCAGAGGATGCAAAGTAACTGAGCCCAAGTGGGAGTGGGGGAAGGGTAAGAAAGAAGAAAACGCTACATTAACTGCTGCAAAGAGGTTGAAGTGGAAGTATGCAGGACTTCTACATGCAGGAAAAGGGAAACTGTCTGACCACCTGGTATAACTTCTTTGATATGTTAACCCCCTTTCTGCTCCCATTCTTTTCACTTGTACTTGCAGTCCCATCTGCTGATTTTTTAATTTACATTTGAAATTTAAATGCCCCTATTATGTATTATTTGCACCTTAGTACCTAGAAGCCCTAGGTCCCACTGTGCCAGGCACTTTACAAATATGAAAGAAAAAGATGATCCCTGCACCAAAGAGCTTACAATCTAAGAGCTAAGAACAGGCACTACTGTAAGTCAAAATAAATAATTAAACTGCACAATAATGTCTTTGAGACAGACATTATACCCATGTTACAGATGGATAAGTTAAGGCACAGATGTAAATGCTCAAGGTCCTGCAAGTCAAAGTGTAGCCATGTCTATATTATGGTGCCATAGCTAGGCGCTGTAACCCTGTAGTGTAGGTGCAGATGACAGCAACAAAAGGGTTTCTTTCCACCTCCCTGAGCAATAGGAACTAGGTCAACAGAAGCATTCTTCCACTGACCTAGCTGTGCCTACACCATGGGTTAGGTCAATGTTCAGGGGTATGCATTTTTCACACCCCTGAGCACTGTAGCTATGTCGACCTAAATTTTAAGTGTAGACCAGACCTGTGTCTCAACACTGTTTTAACCACTGGATCACACTGCCTCCATTGGCTGGCAGATGTATTGGGTTTTCCCAAGAAAAGAAACTAAGCATAGCATGTGAAAACGCCTAGACAACTACTCTGTCTTCCCAGTGCATGTAGTATGATAAGGTGGTGCCCCCATCCAGCACCTCACATAAGGGCATTGTGAGACTTATTTTGATTTACAATACAGTGCCTACGTAGCCTGTGACGACTTCCTACAAATCTCAATTTTGATCACTTTTTCAAATATTACATACTTTCAACATAAAACTTGCCAGTCACAGTATAGCAACAAGAACTTTTTTTTTTATGAAAAGCCCACTGGATATAATGTACTTACAAAAAGTTATTTATCTGCCTGAATTTGGTCCAGTAAAAAATGTACTGCTACACTTGCCTTACTTTCTTGTACCATGAAGAGGTCTATTTATTCTGTTTAGATGACTGTCTAATCTATTCTGTTAGTTTGGTACAGGTTATGATTCATAGTGTCAAAGATGCAGAACATTTTATAATTTTGCTAGCAAAAGCATGCCTATTCAGTGCTTCACAGAAATGTTACAGCAATCCCACAAAGTTTAGGGGCATTTCAATTCCTTCACTCAAGGGAGTAGTCACCTAACTCTCTTAAGTTCTTTTCCCACCCAAGGATATTGTTATGAGCTGAGTGAAACCTTGTTATAGGTTGAGTTAAAACCCCATTGAGATTGACAGGTGTGAACTGACCTTTCAATTAAAATAACTGAAAGCATAAGACTCCACCTTGGTCTGTTTGTGTAGAATCATAGAATATTAGGGTTGGAAGAGACCTCAGGAGGTCATCCAGTCCAATCCCCTGCTCAAAGCAGGACCAACACCAATTAAATCATCCCAGCCAAGGCTTTGTCAAGCCGGGCCTTAAAAACCTCTAGGGATGGAGATTCCACCACCTCCCTAGGTAACCCATTCCAGTGCTTCACCACTCTCCTAGTGAAATAGTGTTTCCTACTATCCAACCTAGACCTCCCCCACTGCAACTTGAGATCATTGCTTGTCTTGCATAAGGAAGAAGAAATGTTAAAAGATATAAACCAGGGTGTAACTTTGGGATATTAAGAGAAATTGCTAAAAAAAGGTATGTGTTCCTGTCTAGGAACTTTTCAATGAGCATTGTTCTGGGTAGGAATGTATGTGAGGGAAGAGAGAGATCACAGAGAAACTGAGAACAGACAAAAACAGAGAGAAAAGAAGAAGCAAGAAAGCCAAACAGGAGCCTGTAAGCAGAGTGTGACCCTGATAAAAGCTCGACAGAGCACTTTTGGGTCTAGTGTTGGCTAAAGAGTCTTGGAGGCTGTACACTAAGGGCTGGTCTATACTTACCGGGTAGTTCGACGGCTGGCAATCGAAGTTCCGGGTTCGATTTATCGCGTCTGGTCTGGACACGATAAATCGAACCAGGAAGTGCTCGCCGTCGACTGCGGTACTCCAGCTCAACGAGAGGAGTACCGCGGAGTCGACGGGGGAGTCTGCCTGCCGCGTGTGGACCGCGTCTGAACCGCGGTAAGTTCGAAGTAACGTATGTCGACTTCAGCTACGTTATTCACGTAGCTGAAGTTGCGTACCTTACTTCGACTTGGGGGGTTAGTGTAGACCAGGCCTTAGAAACTACTCCTTTTGTTCTTTGTGTCTTCTGTGTTCAGAGACACAGGACTTTGTAGATTCCTTGTAAAGAAACAAGTGTGCATCAAAGAAAATACCAGACTCCATCAGTTTCTACTTCTAGCTAGATCAGGGGTGGCCAACCTGAGCATGAGAAGGAGCCAGAATTTACCAATGTACATTGCCAAAGAGCCACAGTAATACATCACTAGCCCCCCATCAGCCCTCCCCCATTCCCAGTGCCTCCCACCCACCGGCAGCCCTTCTGATCAGCGTCTCCCCTTCCCTCCCCACATCTCCCAATCAGCTGTTTCATGGTGTGCAGGAGGCTCACGGGGGCGGGGGAGGAATGAGGGCATGGCAGGCTGAGGGGAGGGCATGGGAAGGAGTGGAGTGGGGGCAGGGCCTCTGGCAAAGCCAGGGGTTGAGCAGTGAGCACCCCTGGCACATTGGAAAGTTGGCACCTGTAGTTCCAGCTCTGGAGTCAGTGCCTATACAAGGAGCCGCATATTAACTTCTGAAGAGCCGCAAGTGGCTCCGGAGCCACAGGTTGGCCACCCCTGAACTAGATCATCCTCAGGGTTGCGAACTTTGCCTAGATGCTCAGGTTGAAAAGGGGCAACGATAGTCATCTCATGCACCCTACCCAAACGGGAATGTGGCAGAGGTTCTTCCTCTATCAAGTGGTTAACACCAGTCATTTTCACACACCACTGGCCAATTTCCTTTTATAAAATGTACTGGACTTTTATGTGATGACAGCCTAGTTTTATTTCTCTGCACATTCTTTAGAAGAAAAACAAAACAAACACAAGTAATCAGAAGTTGTGATCTTTGTCCAAGGATGATCTTTTAAGGCATGAAACCACACCCGTGGTAAGATTTAGTTCTTACTGAGACATATATACACATTCTTCCCAAATCTGTCTATGAATTGTAGACACAATTAACAAAGTAAAATAATCCTATACTGGGAAGAGCCCAATTTTACTGACACCTGGACTACACTTAAAAGTTAGGCTGACATGGTTACAGTGGCCCCGGGTGTGAAAAATTCACACCAATGATCACCACAGTTAAGTCGACCTAACCCCTGGTGTAGATGTGGTGAGGCAATGAAAGAATTCTTACGTTAACATAGCTACCACAACTCAAGGAGGTGGATTATCTACACTGATGGAAAAAAAACCCTTCCGTAGTTGTAGAAAGCGTCTACACTAGGACACTACAGCAGCACTGTAGCTATGCCGCTTTAGTGCCCATAGTGTAGACATGACCTAGGGCTGGTCAAAATGTAGCAAGGAGGACAAAGCCATAACAGCCGTGTGGGAGGTGGGAAAGAAGATCTTTGGGCATTTTGCAAGCACAGATGAGGTTCAGAAGTAATGTCAGTGATTATGGTACTTTATGTAAAGCCAGACAACACAATAAATATTTTTGATGGTACATTTTAGAATAGGCAAAAATGAGATCGCTATTTTCAAACAGTATTTGGGACAACTCTTCCTGCAAATAATGATTCTTTACTTTTATTTTCTCAAAAGATTAAAACAGACGTAAACAAAACAGACAATGTAGCCCAAAACTATTTCAAGCAAAATCTCTTAAAAAAAAAATCAGGAAAACAGTGTTCACATGGTATTTTCTCAGATAAGGTATGAGTATTTTTTCAGCATACTGCTTTGGGTACTTAAGATGTTCATTGCTCTACAACAGCAGAAGAGTTTAAGACTCTCATATTCGGAGGATTTTCACAGCCCTAGGATTCTAGGTCTGGCTAAGAGAACTTCAAAGCAGAGCTAACTTTGGTGACTATTTCCTGACAGATTCTTTTCCAAGAAAAGAACCGTTCAGAAAAATAACCCTGTATCTGATTAACCATATGATAGACAGAT